TCCCAAACCCTCCTAAACCCTCCTAAACCCTCTTGAACCCTTTTTTTGAGCAGGGACTGCAATGCACTAAAAACCCCTAAACCCCCTAAACCCCTAAACTCCCAAATCCCTAAACCCCCTGAACCCCCTAAACCCTAAACCCTAAACTTCTAAATCCCTAAACCCTTAAACCCCTAACCCCCTAAATCCTTTTTGCATCAGGACTTGTGCAATCGCCTGAATGTCCGAGCCAACAGAAGTGCAGCTCAAACCCCTAAACCCCTAAAACCCTAAACCCCAAAACTCCGAGCATCTCTTCTGGGAGGCGGCAGCCATAGTCTGGGCTCAGCCGGTGGGCCTCTTCGGTGTTGCCGGGGCTTCATGAAGAAAATGGGGTTTCAGCACTCACTCTCGGACATGCCTAGGTGGGGTTTAGGGTTTAGGGTTGAGGGTTTAGGGCGTTTGAGGCGTAGGGGTTTCGGGGTTCAGAGGTTTAGGTTTTAGGGGTTTAAGGTTTGGGGTTTACGCTCTCGCAACTCGGACTCCGCCAGACGAGGTCTCTAGGTTCAGAAGCACTTTGACTGATCGACTCCAGAGGCTGGCAATCATCGGGCACCGCGAGAGCATTCTCAAAAGCAGGTGGATACGAACCAGGGGTTGCCGACGATCACCAAAGAGTCGATGCATGGATCGAAGAGAAACTCTTCCCGCAGTGTTCCTAGCCCTAAGTGGGTTTCGGCTCTCACACTCGGACAATGCAGGCGAGGCGTGTAGTCTTAAGTCGGATTTGGTGAAACTAAAAGCTTGGACAGAAACATCGATCCCAATAGTCCAAACCCTGCTAAGAAGAAATGCCCCTTGCCTTCCACGCCCGATGTCCTGCATACCTAGTTCAGGACCTCACGCCTACTCATATACCTAGGATCGCATGCAGGGGGCGAGGACGGAGCGACCTATTTTCGCAACAATTAATCGAATTGACAGCGCTACGAGGCAGGACGCCTCAGGCGTTTAGGGCTTGGGGTTTAAAGTCCACAACACTCCAGCAACATCAGCATCAGCACCATCGTCACCAACACCACCACTACATCGAAATCACCATCGAGAAGCACCACCGCCACCACCACCATCACTATCTTACTCACGGCAAAAACAAACACACACAGGCCAAATCGTTGTACGCATAACGTATAGAAAGAGCAACGCGGCCAGCAACAGCCGTAGTTCAGTGCCATGAATAGCAGAAGTAGGTAGGCTGGGTAGGGAGGGGGCATGGTGCGAAGAACAGAACAGCAACGGCACAGTGGCACATTACTGAGGCGAAGTCGGCAACCTGAAAACGAACACCTGGCCCCAAAACGACGAGCTCAAGCAAGCCCGCAAGAATTAACCAGCCCATCCTCGCCTCATACCATGCGCCAGCCTGCGAGAGAAGTGAGGCCAAACGTCGGTCGGGTTTCGGCTAAGCTGTTTGGGGCACTGAAGGAAAGCAGCCGAGGTTTGCTGTATAGAACGATTTCAGGCACTGGCCATAACACGCTCGAGTCTCTAGATACTTTGGGTTTATGCCCTCAAGACACAAGACGGCCAGCCCGATTCATACTTTATCCCCTGAACCTTTAAGTATAAAAAGGTATAACTTAGTATATATTTAGTATAATACATACACCCCAAGAACAATTTATGAAGAATCGGGCACCCGAGTCCCAAACCCTAACCCCAAACCCTGAATCCTAAACCCTAAGCCCCAACCCAAACCCCCTGATCCCTTCTCTGAATGTGGGAAAGATCAACACTAAGCCCGAACTCTAACCCTTGATCCTGTTTAGACAAGGATCTACGAACCCAGCGTTACTGTTGTTCGCAAGCTTGCCCAGTTCACGCCTGGAAGCATCATACCCCCTAAACCCCTAAACCCTAAACCCCGTTCTCTCAACAAGCAAGACACGTGACGGACATCCGTCTTAGACTTTCCATGTGCACCTTGGAACCCAACCCCAAACCCTAAACCTTTAGGGTTTAGGGTTTTTTTTGCCTCCTTTAGGGTTTGGGGTTTAGGGTTTAGGGTTTAGTGTTTAGGGTTTAGGGTTTAGGAATTAGGGCTTAGGGTTTAGGGATTAGGGATTAGGGATCAGGGTTTTGGACCCTAAACAATAAGCCCCACAACCCCAAGCCCTAAACCCGAAGCCGTCCGACCGCCGCCTGTTGGCCCAGGAAGTCCAAGACCCGGTGCAGCTGGAAAAGAGTGATGCCTGGCGACGAGGGTTTAGGGCTTAGGGCTTGAAGGTTTAGGGTTTTAGGGCTTAGGGTTTAGGGTTTATGGCCTAGGGGATGTTTACAGATGTTCGAGGATGTTTAGCCTTTACAGCAGTTTTTGTTGGTTTCGAAGGCCTTGAACTTCGACCTGCCCCAAGCCCTAGACGCTTGAGGTTTCGAGGCAGGCATCCCAACCTCTCTCGCTTCAAGAAGCCTCCAAGGGGTGCTTCAGAGTGGTTTAGGGTTTAGGGGTTCCCGAAGCCTGGCATGCCAAACCCGACAGCTTACCAGGGTAGTTTGTCTCCTTAAACCCTAACCCTAAAGTCAAGGGACATGAGCTGTAAGGTCTGGGCAGCTCCAAGGATTCCAGATGAAGGCTCAAAGCTACGATGCAAGCTGACATCTGTGCCACTTTGCTAGCGACATCTAGCGACTAGCAACATTGGGGACACTGGCAATTGCCATGGATACGACCATCATTAACACGATGCATGTCTAAAGCCTACACCCGAGGCCCGCTGCAACATATCGTAGGGGCAAGCCCCCGAATGTCACTGCTTCTTGACGCTGATTGTCCTCTCACCCAGAGGGTCAGTTGCGAGACCTCTGCCATCCAGGCTGAGAAATGAGACATCGGATTTTAACATGGAGGGTTTTGGGATATCTGCAAAGGCTTTTGCATGTTTTGAAAGGAATGTGGGATACTGGCGTTTAAGCTTCGGGTCCCGTGGACCCCG